CTGGCTACAATGAACCTTTGGGAATCACAGAGCTCCTTACTGGCTGTAAATACCAACTGTTGGCCCATGTAACGCAGCGAGAGCACCAGTAGATTCCTCTGCACTGAAGAGCCTTCATAGGATGATCAAGTGGATTAATCCCAAATAGTTGGCTTTACCAAGGGTTGTTCTATTTCTTCTGTACACTGCATCCAACAAGGATGCGGGGGGCGGGGTTCTAACTTCATATAAAAATTGTATTTCTTTATTACTTATTTTACTAAATTTCTGTTCCACCCATTTCCCAAGATGGTTCTCTTTACCAAAATGAGTCTTGGGCTTTCTATCAGCTAAATTGATACAAGCGGAGCGAGCTAGTCACATTATCTGTAATTGTCTCTTACATCCAGGATTATCTAGTTCCTTACAAGTTTCATCTTCCCTAGATTTTATCCACCTAATATGTCTTTCCCAAGCAGGGATATATTTTCCTCATGAGATTATGCATCTACTTTCAAAGGAACAGATCACGGGGAAGATCGTTCTAAAAAGTGGCTCATGCATAAACATACGCATCACTGAATCAGTGGGTGGGAAGGGCCATTTGGTTGCTTCCCCTTGGAGAAGCAATGCTGAGTTTAAGGAGGAGGCTGTGCAGGAGGCAACAACCCATCTTTGCCCCTCTTGCCAAGAGACTCTATGATATCTTGGCTTGACCATGGCTTCGTGGATTACCCAGGTTCAGATAACACAGTAATCCACAGACTGCTTCCCAAAAGCCATGGTTACTTGGGGTGCTTCACACAATATGCTAAGTCACAAGGGTGAAGGTAGCTTAGAGCGCTGTGTGAATCCAGTGAGGGACTGAAAAAGCCCCACTGAATTTAGAACAAACTTGAAAACTGTGTTTCAAGGAATGTGCATGAAAGCTCTCTCTGTGGTCTTTGGTTACGGTCCTCAAGATATGAACTCATATCTGAACCAACCATGAGATTGATGTAGTATCAAAATAAGCGCAACCTGCAACGAAACGCTGCAGTATGGAGGGCTCTTTCCAGGATATTTTATTCTGTTTCACCTCCCCAGTTCTTCAGTCCCCTCCCTCCCAATTAGCATGGCTTTTCCTATATCAGCAAATGTTCCCAGCCCAATGAGACCTCTCTTTTGTCTGGTTCATGGTGCTGCCTAGACCATGTAAGAACCCATTCTTAGAGAATAAATTCCGTATTAGTATTTTCTACCTACCATTGAACCTCCTTCGAAGGGCTGAACTGTTTCAGAGATGCTCTCAAGGTCCAAGTTCTAGTGGGAACAGGACCCAAAACTAAGGGGTGGAGCCAGAATAGCTTAAACCTCTCACTGACAGTAACTGAAGCTCAAGAGAGGCATTTCAACCTCTAAAAAAGTGGGGAGGAAGAAGCACATGAAAGCTGGGGAACCAGTGAAGGGGTGGGCTCTCCTCAACAAATCCCAGAGGACCAGCTGGGGCTCATAGGCCTGAAGATCTGCTACAGAATGATAATCAGAGGCATTGGCCAGGAAGGTGGGTGTGTTCGCTGTAACCATTTGCAACTGATATTTAGTGAGCTTTCCCGGAAGAGCATCCACACTGAACCAGAAGTGTTTGGTTCCAGAGATCCAGCAGTAAGTTGCTGCTGTTTCCACTGGGGATGTTTGAAAGAAACATTGTAGTCCCTTTGTCAGTTGTGTGTAAGCCTTTTTCCTGTTCTGCTAGGGGGAAAAGGAGGAACTACAGTGCCCTGTGAAACTGACAAGGCTTCCCTTCATTTCCAGGGAAGCTAGAACAGAGTAGATAAAAGGCCTGGAGAAAGAAAGGCAGGTAACACAGGGACTAACATTCCCTCTGCTGTGCCCATTCCACTGCTCTGGGTGAAACACTTGTGCAGCTGGCTTGCGAAAGAGACGATTGTGCTGCAGTTTACAAAGACTTTACAAAAATCACTGTAAACGCACACTGGGGGTAGGGGGTTGCAATGGAGGACAACAGGAAAAACATGAGCCTGTGATAATTTGAGAGGAACTTTGCCTGGATTCCCAGCACTCAATGAGGATTAAATAGTCAGGAATAGAGAAAAGGGCTGGCAAGGAAGTGTGCACTACTCATTAATTCACACGTGGAAACTGCACTGGAGAGAGACCATGCTTTGCATGCAAAAGTCGTAAGGTTCAGTCTCCAGGCATTGTGAGTGAAAAAGGCTGTGTAGCAGATGATGAAAGAGGCCTTTGCCAGAGACTCTGGACAGCAGCTTCCGGCACGAGTGGGCAACACTGGGCTAGATAGATAATGCGCTCAGCCTGGTATGAGGCGTTCCTAACTTGAGCTGACCAGTGCATTGTCGCTTTGGCAAGAGGCAAAGCAAAAGGCGTGGCTGGCCTCTCAGTCTAACCTTCTGGAGGGCACCCGATGGCCACAGCCTTGCCCCCTTCCTTCTGACCACCAGTTACTGCCATGAGTTTAGTGGACCAAGGAGCTGATTCACTGTAATGCTCATGACCCAGGGCCAGGAAAAGAGGCAGGGGCTCCTGTATCTTTGTGGGTAGTGATGCAGTTGGATCCTAAGAAGGCAGGAGTACCTGTGCTGAGAAGGCATTCAGTACGGACGTGCTGTCCAATGGTACTGGGCAACCTGGAATAACAGCATGGAACTCTCCCACTGCAGATTTCCCCCATTCTGGCTGGCACTACAGAGACCACTTCTGTTGCTGGGGATGTGAGGACCGGAAGCCCTCTTTGTAATACCCAGATAGGGATTTTTGTTTGGGACTCCTGGCCTGGCCTCAGATCTCCCAAACTTTGTAAGGACTGGCAACAGCAACCGCCAGTGTCATGAGCATGTCTGCACCAGCTGCTTGCTTCTCTGTCCCCTTGGGCTACTTTCCAGAATAACAGGGAACAGCTGCTGCAAGTCGTGCCCCGATCCCAGGTGGTGCCACTGCTCAGGGTTTATTAAAGGGACTTCAGTCCCCCATCCAAGAAATGAAAACTCCCCACCCGTTGACTCTCCGCTTCCCAATGTCAGTCTGGGCGATCGTCCCAAGGGATCTTGCTTGCTCTGAACTTGCTCCACAAACCAGCAGGCCTGGGAAGCTACTCAGAGCTTATCCACTTGCTTGCTGAGCCATCTGTTCATCCCACAAACAATCAATCAGGTCCTGACCCTCTGCTGTTCCTTTTGGAGCGTGGTTTGCCCATTTTCCATCTCCATGGTCATTGCAGAGTTGGTCCCCAGAGATGCTGACCATGGTGGAGTTTATACCATAAGAGCCTGTCTCATGCTCAGTCCCCGTATTTGTCCATCTAGTCTCCCACAGGCTATTCTGGCTGGCAGCAGTTCCTCGAGGTCTTGGGGTCTTCCCCACCACACCTTCCCTTTCTGGGAAGCTTTCAACAGGAGATGCCAATGATTTGGGGTCAGGAATTATGCAAGATCAAAAAGAGAGGAAGCACAGCACCAGAGAGAGACAGAGAGAGAGACAGAGAGAGACAGAGATGCATAAAATTAACAGGCTAATTTATAGGCATAGATAAATAATTACTATACTATAAATAGAACCACAGTCCATCTCACCATAGTGGGGACAATTGGGGCCAGGTGCCTGTACCTGCTCTGTCTGCTGCCAGGTAGTAATCTCTGGTGGGCCATTTCAAGGTCCCTGCAGCTCTCCCTTCACATGCCCCAGTATCTTTAAACCAGGCTTGGACCAGCCAGTGCGTGAAGGAGTTGACACCTTCAGACAGAGGACTGTGCTCTATGAAACAGAACACGTAGCCACCCTACAGGGATAGGGCCTTGTCTATCTGAAATGGGTGCTACACCCCAGAGATGTGGTCCTTTTGTTTATCAAGGGACAAGGGCTATAGATACAGAATTTTTCATATGAGATTGCAAATTCTTCCACAAATCAATCAATCTCTCTCTCTCTCTCTCCCCACCCCTCTCTCAAACACACACACACACAGAGACAGAGAGAGAGAGACAGAGAGAGAGAGAGAGAGAGAGAGAGAGAGAGAGAGAGAGAGAGAGAGAGAGAGAGAGAGAGAGAGAGAGAGAGAGAGTTAGTTAGTTGCTGGTGCTACATGACCAGCACTCAGTCAAAAACTGATATGAAGGGAAATTTATCTCTGCCTCGGAACTGAGCTGTTTACCTCACTCTTTCACCTCCTGCCTCATGCATTGTTTATGATTTCTGCATTAGCCTTGGATACTGCTCTGGGGCTTGGGGAAGTCTGGAGTGGACAGCCGTCCAAGAGACCTTCCTGTAACCAGGCCCAGCTGTTCTGGATCTCTAACATAACTTCTCTTTGTGTGCTCATTTCTTTAAATAGTCGATTGGCTTATGTTTGCAGCCAGAAAAAGGTGGAAGTTTATGGTTCTTTGTCCTCAGTGTGTCCCTAGGATTGCCTTTGCCTCAAAACTCTTTGGCCTTTTTCAAACATTCAGTGGAAATAAGGCACTGAGACGGAAGCTGTTCCCCAGCTCTCCACATCTATGCCTTCGTCTAAGTCAGGGGTTCAGAAGCTGGTTCTGGGCTTAATCTAGCCAGGCTGGGGCTGCCAGGTGGCTGTGTTCCTTTCCCCCCCAATTGTGGATTGCTTGGTAACTTCACGGTGCGTTGTGGCTTCCCCTTCTCACGCACCCACCCACCCACCCACCCACTCCGCCAAGCATTTGGTGGCTCCTTAGCTGTTGCATGTGCATTTCCCTGCTCCTGTTCTGAAAGACTGAAAAGTCTCTCTGAAGGCTTCGTGCCTGGCAGTAAGAGCTTTGAGCTAAAATATGCTGATCCTTTTGGCTTTTGGCTCGCCCTTTTGTCTTGACCCCTGCCTCTCACAGGAAAACATCCAGGAGAGTTTCTCTAAAATGAAATTCAGTCCTCAGACACCAGATTGGAGAAGACTGGGATTCAAGGGGGAAGAGGTCAGGTTGCTCTTTTTCCGACCTGTCTGCACTCTGGTGGCTTGACCCGTCTCTTTCTGCAACCCTGCCCCCTCCTTCCAGGATGCTTCTGTGGTCTGGGACTGATTTACACCAACAAATCGTGCACGATGCCACCCATCACCTTCCAGGACTTGCCACTAAATATCTACATGGTGATTTTTGGCACTGGCATCTTTGTCTTTGTGCTGAGTCTCATCTTCTGCTGCTACTTCATTAGGTGAGTGACCATCCCAAGGGAGATTCTACCTGTGCTTGTGGCCCCTTCACTGTTTTCAGGATAAGCTGGGATTGCAGGAAGGAAGGGGGTGGATGCTTCAGATCAGGCTCGAACAAACGACGCTGGCAGGAGTGGGGAAGCGTGGGCCCGCGGGCCAGCGAACCCTCCAGGGGTGTGCGGTAGCCCCGCCCCTTTCACCTACCCACCAGAAGTTTGGTGATTCCCCAGCTTTTGTGTTTGGTTTTCCCTCATTCTGAAGGGCTGAAATGCCTTGCATAAGGTTTCCTTACCAGTAGGAAGAGCTTTCAGCAAAAGCACGCTGCTACTTTTGGCCCTGCCCACCACTGGAATGCAGCCCCCAAGAGCTTTTCCCAAATGGAATGTGGCTCTCAGGCTGGAAGAGGTTGAGCGCTGCTATATTATAGGAGCCATTTCAAGCACGCACGCTGAAGTCTCCTGGAGATGCCTGGAAGTTCCTAACGGATCCTTCACAAAAGAATAACAAGAGCCAGGCCAGACTCTTTTTCTGTCTGATCCAATATGTTTACATCAAGGCTTTGCCCAAGTGGGCACTTTCTGTTGCAGTTGTACTACAAGGCCCATCATTCCCAGCCATGGAACTAGCTGGAGATCATGCACAATGTCCTTCAACCGTCCTGCTGGGTGGAAGCAGATCTACTCTGAGGAGCAGTGGCTCTCCAAGCTCTGTGCACAGAGACCCTTCAGTTGCAGCCCAATCTTTTTCGCTAGAGGCGATGAGGCTGAGAGAGGGGAGCCTCTGCACCCCTCTGGCGCTTCACACTCAGGCCTGGGACTGAACCCTGGAAGGCTCAAAGCAGGGCTGGGACATTTGCGGCCCGAAGAGCAACCCCAACCGTGCTGAGCCAGCTCTAGATTCAGCCTGTTTGCCCCAGTTGGTGTTGACTGTTGCCTCCACGTCTGTCACAAAAGTCTTGTAAACAGTGAGAGCAGGAATGCAATGCATCTGCAGGAGGAGATGTTGCCCAGCACCACATTGGGTGTGCTCATGGATTAGAGAGAGAATGAATGTAGCTCTGTCCTGCAAGGGCCCTGAGCTCGTAGCTTTAGCTTTGTGGACAATAGGACTTTTCTGTAGGAGCAAATAGGGAATTTCGAATGGGATTCAGAGCAGCTTCCAGAGTCATCACCTTCAGGGCAATTCAGTCCAGAAACGGGAGTGGCAGACACTGGATCCTGGCCTCCAGTTAGTCTGCTTCCGCCGCCATCTCTCCAGCTGGTTGTTTAGCCCCAACACCCACAGATGGGGTTGTGAACAAGGCAGCAGCTGTGGAACATGGAAGGCATGAACCTTTTATTGCATTGAGAGCCACAAGTGAAGCAAGTGGTTGACGATGTCCGGGAAAAAATCAGGCAGATCTGGCTCTCTTTTCTCTTTAAAAGCATATACAGAGTGCCGCTGGATCAAACCAATGGGACTGCATCCTACTGCCTTGTGGTGCCTTTTCAGTGAAATGGGTCTAAGTTGCTTTGAACATCAAGGAGGGAAGAGACTATCACCACTAGACTCTTTGGATTCCACCTGTGAATCATGCACTGTTTTTGTGTTGTGTGGCTTGAACTGATTCTCCATCAACTGCATTGGGTGACACTCCCACTCCCCGCCCTCGTAGTGTCATGAGACACAAAGGTGACCATGTGTGCATATTTCAGGAGAGAAGTCCTCTCCCTGAAGGTACCATCTGTTTGAGCCTTCCCTGCCCTGATGCTCTCCCTATGCTTTGGACTTCAATTCCCATCAGCCCCAGGCAGCATGACCAATAATCAGGGTCCTGGGAGTTAGAGTCCAAAACATCTGGAGGGCCAAAGGGTGGGAAACCTTTTGTTTGAAAAGCTGTCAAGGCCAAGTCTGGTTTCATGAACCCTAAGAAAGGAAAGGGGCCCTTAAACCTGCTCATTCAAAGTTAACACCTGGACAGCAAACCAAAAGGGGTTACATTTGTCACCTGGTCAGTCTTCTGCTTTATGGTGAGATGTACTATATTTCTATAGAAAGTAGAAATGCATTTACATTTGCAACTGTACATATACATTTGCAGATGAGGGCCTCTCTTTTTGCCAGCTCATTTCTTCTTTTTTGGCCATACCTCTGCAGGCACCCTACAAGGCAAGGAGGAAGTTTTCTGTTCTGTTCTCCCCACCTTTCTTTTCTCTCTCCCTCTCTCTCTTTCTCTCTCTCTGCACACTCTGTCATGACCTGAGCCATCCTTTGCTTCTGTAAACCAAAAGGTCCCCAGGGTTTTGGTCCTTCCTGAGAGGAGTAAGCATTTTCCAAAGCTGCAGAGGTCCATGGCTTCAGCCTTATGTACCCCTTAGTTGTGGCCCAGTCCGCTGAGAAAGAAGCCAAGCCATCGCAGTCAGCGCTGCTCTCACACAGCAGGAAATGTCAGGAAGTGGGGGGGAAGGCCTTGCTCAGGTGGCCTGAGCAGATCCATTGTTTCTGGCGAAAGAAGAGCCATGTCCTGGTGCCAGTGCCTATTTCTGGAAAACTTATTTTTAAACTTCATACTCATCTGCTGCCGGATGAGTGCTAGAAAAAGTCAAGTGGCTATCATCATCATTCTCAGCACGTGATTTTCCTTTTGCCTTTGCCTTGTACAACAAACCTCAGAAACACAAAGGAACTGGGAAATAACTTTAAAAAGAAGAATGTAGATATAACAGTGTGGACCCTGTACCCTACATTCTTCCAACAAACCAACATTTCCTTTCATTTCCTTTGCTGTTAGTGAAAAATGTATGATCTGTAGGCAGCTGCAATATCATGGTCTGACACCAAGTAAGACTGTTTTTGTATCTGAAGCAAACTCCTGAGATCCTAGTATACCAGCTACAAACTGATGTGGGCATTTTGGGCACACCTGCTACCCTCAAGGCACTTTGCTGTAGCATAGGAGCAGGTAGAAAGATATCCAGATGTTTTAGACATCAGCTTGCAGAATTCCTAACCATCAGCAATGCTTGCTGGGGCTTCTGAGAGTTAACAGCCAAAATGTCTGGAAATCTGCCTTCTGCTCAACCCTGCTATAGCATCCCTCCCCAACAGCTAAAGGCATCATACAGAAATACAACTCAGTAAATGTAACTCAGTGTTACAATATGGGACATTTGAACTGCCCTCATGTATTTCTCCCAAGAAGACTTTCCAAAGTGTTTTGCCTGCAGAAGAGCCTTTAGCATCTTCATTTAAAGCAAACAGAAGGGAGATAATAAGGGAAGATCTCTTGTGAGACCTGTGAGACCAGACTATTGATAGGCAACCTTCAGCCCTGAACCGAAATTCAAAGCGGCCTTGGGTTCTTCTGATGTGAGCTCCCTGCTTGTGTGCTGCTCCCGGTTAGGCAGGAGGGATTAGCATTCTGTGGTAGAGCAGGTCCTAGGTTCCATCTTTGGTCACCTCCAGCTGCTGGGGAAACTGCCTGAAACCCTGGAGAGTTGTTGTCAGACAGTGTTGACAATAATGATCTGATTCAGTATGAAGCAGTTTCCTATATCCTATGCCGAATAGACAATACTAGGCAAGATGGGCTTCATGTCTTCATGTTAGAGCAGGATACATCTGGATGAAATCTGCAGGTGCACTTCTATGCTTGTTTCCATGGTTTATGCAGAACCAAATTGGCCCAAAATACACAGAATTGTGGGAGGGGACCTTGCTTTTCCCCTGCTCGGGGGCAGCACTGCATGACCTGGGATTCCGTGGCAGTGGCTAGGCTGCGGAAAAGAGCCACATAACTCAGATCCCACGCAGCTTTGCTGGAACAAACAGATGCATGCTGTTACCACATCCTGTCTTGTTGTCTCCCAGGACTAAGTTCCTTGCATACGCCGCTCAACAAGAGGTGGGGAAGCACCTATTTCTGTTATCTCTCCTGTCCTGCAGCTGGGTTCTGTATAGTCTGCCCAGCTTGCAGGCTGCTTACATGACCAGCGCAAGTCCAGTGTTTCCCACAAGTTTGTGGTGTGGATCTCTGCTCTGTACCATTTCCCCAATGAAAACAGGAGTGTGCTTGGAGCACCCCCTCTGTCCATCCCCAGATGAAATGTAGCCTTCATTTACTCTTCAGTAGCTGTTCCAGCTATGTAGCAAAAGAAAAAATGTGTTTCTGCTGGTTAAATATCTGCCAGAGAAAGACATATGTCTCCTAATATAGGGAGGGATGGACCACAGGCTGTTCTGTTCTATTCTGTTTTCACTGTTCTGTTCTATTGAACAGCTGTACAAAAGTATGTTTTCTTAAAAAGCATCTTTTTGAGGAACATCTTTCCTCAAAAAATGACACATTTCTAAATATGTGAGCTGAATGTATGCACTTTCCAACATATTTTATTGAAAATATGCATTTTGACCTGAAAACTACATTTCAGATTTCAAAGAATACTGATGTTCTGCTCTGCATGTTTGTCCCAAGGATGTAGATAGGTCAGTTCACATCAGAATTCACCAAGACTGAATTCCTCAAGCGTCCTGCTGTCATAGTTCAAGCCCAGACTGATCAGTATGCAAAAGGTCAGGTTTTCTGCACCATCCTGGTGAGGCATGTACGTTTATGCCATGGCTGTAACCTTCATTTATCTTTAATATAACTTTGAGGCACAATTCTATGTGATCAGGTGCTGTCCAGATGACCACAGGAAACCACAGAAGAAGGGCTCTCGATCTGGAGCGACCTGTTCCACCATAGCAGCTGGTGCAGCTTTTTCCACTTCGGCTGCAGCTTTAAAGTTGCAAATGCAACATGCAGGGAGAAATGCAGCTCTGCTGGGATGTAAGGAGTTCCAGTGATGCCGCATCCCCTTCTCCTTGCAAGCAAGAGTAATAAATGTAGATTTCCATCTAAGCATTGTCAAGGGCAAGCGTTCCTGGGTATCTAAAGGAACGCTTGTGTCCATATATGCCCTCCCGCCCCTTGAGATCAGCAACAGGTGCCCTTCTCCGGGAGCCCTCCGTGAAGGATATTAGGAGGGTGAGTACTCAGAGGAGGGTTTTCTCTGCGGTGGTGCCCCACCTATGGAATGCGCTCCCCAGAGAGGTCCGCCTGGCGCCGTTGTTATTTGTTTTTTGGCACCAGGCTAAGACCTTTTTATTTAAAATTTATTTTAAGTGTTAATTTATTGGTCATTTGTAGGATTTTAAATTTTTAGCAGAGATGCACCGGGGGTTTTTAAATAATTTTTTTATTGTTATTATTTATGTATTTATGTATTTTGTTTCTGTTGGGAGCCACCCCGAGGCTTCGTTGCAATGGGGGCGGCATAAAAATGTTTTAAATAAAATAAAATAAAATAAATCGTAGCCTCTGCATTTCTCCAGCCCTCCATGATTTTCCAGTTTCAGAAGTTTTAAGTAAGCACACAAGATTACTCCCTTAATCAACTAAAAAGATGTCCCAGGGTCCCCAAGCATCGAATGTGCATATAACAGTTCATATAAGTGCTTATTATACAAGTCATTATAAAAATCACATGTGACAAACGGCATCATTCTTGTGCCTAGGAAGAATGCCAGTTATAAGATGCTGTCTGCCATGACACACATGCGCATCATCAAACAGGTTGTAAACTGGGAACACATTTTTCTGGTTTGCAAATCTGGTTGCAAACTGGGAAATGTCCAGGTTTCCATTGCTGATTATCTCTAATTTCCAGTTTGATATGGAATAAAACAAACCGAGCAAAACCCAAACGAACACTTGCTGAAACACATTTCTCATACCTCTCTGCCAGGGAGCTATGGAACCTGCCCATTCAGCCAAGGACACGCAAGACAGAGGGCAGAGGAAAGTGACAGTGACGGATGCGGATTGGATGTGGATTGGAGGGGCTGCTGCCTTCTCTGTGCAGTTATTAACCCTTTGGTCCTCCAAGATCAAAATCAATCCTTTGGGGATTTTTGGCTTTGAAATCTTGATCTCGTCGGTCAGCTCTGACTTGATGCTGCCGATTGACTGAGCCACAAAAGGGATTCCCTGCCAGGAAGGGCTACTTCCCCCACAAGCAACCAAACTGAGGCTAGAGAGACCTTTTATCAGCTTGCCTTCCCCTGCAGGGATGTACTTGCAAAGGGACGCATCCCGGCTTAGCAATAGAGTCACTGCTGCCTTTCAGAAGCACCTTGGCAGTCGATGTGGCAACTGTTTTTTCCTGCCTCTTGGTCTAGCCCTTCTTGCTGCTCAGGCACAAAGAAATCTGTGTCTGTGCAAAACAGAACTATTATTCACAGTCAGTTTTCTGCCTACCCAGCTCAGGGCCAGCTGGTTTGTCTTCCACTGTAGTGAATGGGTGTTTGTCCCCCAGCCTTAACCAAAAGTTGCAGAAGGGGAACAAGGGTCACCACTAATATCCATGGGGTAGAACTGCATGCCCGGTGGCAGCTGCTGCTCATTCTGCAATGAACCCCAATTCTTGTAGCATATGGCTTAAATGAGAACTGTGTTTCTTTCAGCCTGACAATCCTAGGGACAAGTTCAGAAAATGCAAACTGCTTAAAGTACCAGATCCCACGGACCTTAAAAACAGCAGTTTCTCTCTCTGTGACTAACCTGTGTTTTTGTTTTTAATTTTTACTGAATGCCTGTATGGGGTCCAGTCCATTTGTTTGGGGCAATAAGCCATTATTCAAAGTTCACAGCATTAGGCTGTTCTTTCACATTTATCTTAAAGACTGAAATGGCCCCTGTTGGAGTGTGTTTGTTAAGATGGATGTTGCGGTTTCTTCTGCTGGCTTTAACAATGTTCCCCTTCCCTCTGCAGCAAACTTCGGCATCAGGCACAGAGTGAAAGGTTTGGCTATAAAGAGGTAATGGAACAAAGGGCTGGCTTTTAAGTATGTTTCTTTTTGTTTTCTGAAGAATGATTTAAGGGAACAGTTCAGTTTGCAAACAAAAGCTGAGCTTTCAATCAGTTTTCCCCAAGTTTGACTCTGCCTTTAGACCAGTTTTTCCCAATTTGATGCCTTCCAGATGTTTGACAACAATTGTTATTGACCCAGGGAGCATGGTCAGGGATGATGGGAGTTGTAGCCCCACATATTTGAGGATTGGGGAGGCCAGGCTTTAGTCTCAGCTTGCATGCTTCCATCTCCTCTTCCGAAGGAGGCAGAGGGAAGGACTCCCGAAGGTTTTAGTCCTGCTTTTACTCACCTGCAACTTTCTGCTTCATCTGAACCAGGACTGTCCTTTACAAGAACTATAGTTATTTTTGAAGCAGACCATTATTCATTTAAGTTTCATAATCCATGATTCAGAGTTGGCTGAAAATGAACATAGCTGGCACTAAATCACCGTGCTTCATTCAGAAGAAATGGGGATCCATGGCTTAGTATAACCGGAAGCAGACACTTGCAAAGAGATCGTGCAAGCCCAAGGCTTACTGTGGCTTATCCATGTAACCATCAAATTTGTGGCCAGAAGCTTGGGCTCAGCACTGTGGCACATGGCTGAAAGTGCATGACCCATTCTGGCAAAGCTAGAATCTTTTCACTACGGGACCCATCCAGCTTTGCTAATTGAAATGGCAATCCTGAAAGTGTGACTTACCCCAGGAAACCATGTAGGGAGTAACCTAATCAGAAGACTGGTCTTCACTCATTCCTTTTGGCTTTTAGACTTGAAGGGACCAGAAAACAGTTTGCACTGCTGGGGAAATAGAACGTACTGCCGCTTCTCCGAGTCCCTAATCTTTGAGAGAGATGAGTTATGCCGTAATGGTTCACGAGCTGAATATGCAGGCTTGATTTCTAAACTGAAACAAGCACTGGTGACAGTGGATATTTGTACAAGACTGAGATACTCCATCCATTCTTCGATTTCCATCACTTGATAGAAATATGGGGAACACTGCTTCACACAGAGTCAGTCCCTGGGTCCATCCAGTCCACCATTATTGGCACGGACTGGTGGTGGCTCTCCATGTTTTCAGGCAGGAATATATCTAGGCCTACCTCTAGACACCAGGGCTTTAACCCAGAGCCCTCTGCATGTGCAGCTTGTGTTCTGTCACAGAGCCACAGCCCTGTTGTGGATTAGGGTGTGCCCGAACAAGGTAAGTGGGTTATTGCAGTATTGCAGGAAGGTGCTTAAAGAGCAGAACTTGCAAATGAGGCAGGCATCAAAGAGACGTGCTACTGCGGAATGACAAAAGGGTTCAAGAGAAGAGATACTTCACTAATGCAGCAGGGAAGGAGAATTACCAAAATCCAAATTGTCTGGGCCAGCGCATGCCATCCAGGGATTCAGATGGCATATGTGTGATGCAGTGTCTGTCTAAACCAAGCTTTCAGGGTTCAGCAGCTGCCACTCTCTGCCTGTGTGATATTCTTTGGGATTAAAATGCATGTCCAAGTTAGTCAGTACCCATGTCCTGATCCTAATCTGCCTTTTTTCTTTCCTTTGTTCCCCCAGGTGGTTTTGAAAGGTGATGCCAGAAAGCTAAACTTACATGGGGTGAGTTAAACAAGAAAAAGCCATGTGATTATGAGAAATGTTTATAAATAAGCCTTCCGTGGGTTTGTTCTGGGGAACAGCAGCAGGGAAATAGGACAATCCATCTTCACTTGCTAAAACTGCATTTGTAATTTGATGCACATATACTCTTATTCAGTGAATTTAGAAAAATCAGGCTTCTCCCATGGGGTGCCCACCGGCTGTTTGGAATTGCAGGTCCCACTGGTCTGAACATCAGCCATGCTGGCTGGGGCTGATGAGAACTGTAGTCCCAAATCCTCTGGAGGGCACTTTGTTGGGGAAAGGCTCTGCTAAACAGAAGCTGAATCCATGGCAGACAGAATGCGAGAACAACTTCAAGCCAAATAAAGAGTGCCACGCAGTGGTGGGGTGCATGTTTTCATGCAGAAAGTCCCAAGTCAATCCCTGGAATTTCCAGTTGAAAGGGCCATGCAGAAGGTGATGGGAGGTCCTTTGCCCGAGACCCTAAAGAAGCTGCTGCCAATCAGAGAAGGCAATATTGAGCTAGATCAACAAATTACTTGACCTGGGATAAGGCAGCTTCTGACAGAGGCTCCAGCCCAACTGAATTCTTCACAGATCCACACAAGCCACATTTTTGGAATACTAGCTCGCCTTTGCGAATACATCTTATATCATGGTAGCCTCATTTCTTAGCTGAAATCTGGGGTAAGTGAATAAGACCCCAGGAGGGTGCTGTCTCCAGCTGACCAAGTCAGAGACTACATCAGTGAGATGCAGTTTATGGCTCAGTAAGCCAGAATCAAGGAAAACTTTGACAAAGCAAAGAACCCAGCAGGGAAGGGATCCATATTTCGGCAGGATCCCTTCCTAAATATTGCCCCCCCCCCTTCCTATGGCAATCCCTCCCACTCCCTGAAAATGCTACATGAGAATCAGAGACACTGCTGAATGGAGTGGGCTGGGGGAGAGGGGGGAACTCCCAAAATGTGGGTGAGGAAACATCTGCAAGAAGGGACTTTTGTCTTCTGAGTATGGATTCCAGATCCAGTCCCATTGGCATAGCAATTAGAAACAAAGAAAGATACAGAGTGAGTCAGAAGGGGCCTCCTGGGCCATCTAGTCTGACCCCCGGCTCCAGCCAGCTCCCCTCATGACATGCCCCCACTCATGCCCATTGAGCAAGTGCAGGGCAGGCGAAAGACTTACCAGAAGCAGAACTAGACCGTGCCCTCGGCACCATTATTATTATTATCACACTGCATTTTTTCATCTTGTCAAGCACCCAAGGTGCTCTAGATAGCTCCATTTTCTCCTGATAGCAACAACCCTGTGAGGTAGGTTGGGCTGAGAGGATGTGAGCTTCATGGCTGAGCGGGGACTAGAACATGCGTCTCCCAGGTCCCCAGTCCTGCTCTCTGCACCCCACCCCACGCTGGCTCTCGCCATCCCTGCCAATGCCCCGCTCCTTGCTTCCCACTGAACCTGTCGACCCACACAAAACTTGCCCCTTCGTATGAAGTGCCTTCTGCAAACGGCGGCCGTGTGCAACACTGCTTCGTAATGCTTGACTGTTCTCTCCCCCTTCTCCACCTCCTCCTCCTCTTTCCCCACAGCAGACTTGTGCTGTCTGCCTCGAAGACTTTAAAGTGAAAGATGAGCTGGGAGTGTTGCCATGCCAACATGCCTTCCACCGAAAGTGAGTAGCTGCCAAAGACCGCCCAGATAGCTGCTTTGTGCTGCTGGGCTTGGCAAACAGCCCAGTCCGTCAACACCCTCCATGCCTGCATTTGGGTAGAAGAGATGGGCACCTTTGTTGACAAAATAGAAAGCCTGACCCTTGGGTTTGGTGATCGCTGGGGCCACAGGGCAGCAACCCGGAGGCAGGGGAGAGAAGGAACTCCTAGGCCTGAAGCGGACCGGATATTATGTCAGGGCGTATTAAGCTGCCGTTCATTTATTCCTTTAAAGGATTTTACCCCACTCACCGGCTCAAACAGGAGCTCAGTGCAGCTTACGCCTGATCAGAAAAAGAAGACCATTCCTGCCCTTTATGCGTTTCGTCTAAGAAGCCATGACACACAGGGAAAGGGGAATGGGAAGGGAAGCGGAGGGTCTGACACATTTCAGTAGGGCTTGTAGACTATGCCCGCTTTGTCTCTCATCAGAATTTGTGAGAAACAAAAGTCAAGAAGAAGAACAAGATCCTATATCAAAACTGCATCTGGTCCCATTTTTTGTTTGGTTGGGCGAGGTGGGGACCGTTTAATCTGAACCATGGAAGCACAGAGGGAGGCAATGTTTTGAAGAAGGGCCAAAATCTACCAAGGGGCAGGGCACAAACTAGATCCTAGGAGAGTGCAGGGACAGAGGGAGCGTCTTTCTCTCTCAACTCCTCCGCTTTTAACTTTTTGGCTGCAGGTGCCTTGTGAAGTGGCTGGAGGTCCGGTGCGTATGCCCCATGTGCAATAAGCCCATCGCAGGCCCCACCGAGCCTCACCAGAACATCGGGATGCTCCTGGATGAGCTGGTGTGATGTCCATCCTCCCACCCGTAGCCGCTTCCCCATGACTTCCCACAGAAAGCAGTCTCCACGGACTATGGCCCTGAGGTTCTGCCCATCCACCTGTGTCTGAGGCAGAGACGCTTCCTCACCAGGTCCGTCTTGATCCTCCCTGAAGGGGGACCGTAAACCTAGTGCCAAGATGGAAAGCAAGCTGGTCCTGCAGTCCATCTCCAGCCTGGGAGCCGTTTCCAGGGGAAGATTAATCAGACGGGCATAGGATGCCATACAGGCTCCCATGAAGGCCTTGGATCAGAAGGTCTGGACTTTCTCAAGACCATCTGCATGGACGATGCAAGTCCCTTGCACCAGGATTCTGCAGCTGGACTGCCACCGTGATGCCAGTAGTGAGATCAAAGTCTTCCCTTCATCTAGGAATCCCTGGTTAGAACCAGCAGAGAGTGATCTTTGCTCGGCCTTTTCCTACTTCTGTTTCATCAGATCTAATAAACCCTTTCTTTTCTATAGGAAGCTTCACCTATTCTCCATTTGGGCCTTCAGGACATCACCTCTGCAGAGGTCAATGTTCCAATGCAAAGCAAGAGCTTTTGCTTGGGTGCCACCAGTATCGGCCTCTTGCCAGGTTCTGCCTTGATTCTTCTCTGCAAAACTGACAGTCAGTGTTTACATAAGACTTGAGTGGAAAGCCTTTTTTTTGGGGGGGGGGAGTGTTGCAGAAGACCCACCCCATTTAATACCCTTGGGTCAGCTGAGCACCAAGGAGTTCACTTTTTATGTAGCTGCTTTAGAATTGTGGGGTTTCGGGGTGGGGAACAAAGGGGCGACACCTTGGCTTTCTTGCTGGCAGCTAAGTAGTGAAAGAGGAGACATTGAGGGATAGTTGGGACCCTTCTCTCAGAGGTGGAAGATGGGTGGGATGTCTTCTCAAGTAGCCTTGAACTTTTCCTACCTATTCTGACCTTGTAAAGAAAAAGTGCATTTACGTTCTCTGAAAGGGGTTTTGATTTGTTTTACAATTTCTATTCTGCCTTTCTAAAATGAGCCATCGCGTTCTAAAATGAACCATCATGTTCTAAAATGAACCATTGCATTCAGCAATTGGGAATGAAGGGATGTAGGGTAAGATTACAGGGCGAGGGAGTCTTTGCCAAACTCCTTCTACATGCTGAGATGCAGACACACAGTACGGTACACGCCCCTCTGTCTCTTTAGAGCAAGGAATGCGATAGAGCACCTGCTTTGCATATGGAAGATCCTGGACTCAAGCCCCTTCCCAAAATCCTTGAAAGCTGCTGCCAGCCTGAGTAACAAACTACTGTAACAGGACAGTCCCCTGCCTCAAGGAGCTTGCAATCTAAAATTCAATCCAGAGGAAGACAACAAAGAGGGGTCCCATGTGAAAAGAGAAACTGTGATCTAGTTTTCCAAACAAGACAGCCTTCCATAGCTTAATTTAGCTGTGGGGTGCTGTCATGTCGTGCTGGCCATGTTGTGTTAGTAAACAACCTTTGGATAATCCTGAACCATCTGGGTTGTTCAAGTCTTCTGCACCCCCTCCAACAACCCACGACACCAGGTGTACTCGACCTAGCGAGGCACACATGTGCCGCTGCTTCTATATTCAGAAGTGAGCCCAGCCCACTTTCCTAAACCCCGCAGGGAAAGTAGCCCGTGATGTCATGCACAAACAGTCTGTGACTGTTTCAACTGCATGGGCTTAGGTTTGGTTATAGAGTTACTGGCAATAAGGCAAATTGCCGTTGGATGGAAACTGTAGTCCAACATACCTGGAGGGAAACAGGTTGGGGAATAGCCCAGGAGAGCATGGACCGCAAGGCCAAAGGTATCACGGAAAAGTTTACAAAGGAAACCAGAGGGGTGGCATCACACAACCGCAGAATAAACCGCTTCAGCAGATGATGGGTTTTCCTTTGTTGAAACCGTCTAAGGGATGCTTGGTGGCCATTGGGCAGATGCCATGGCTGCACCCTGCACTGCAGAACCTGCTTTGTGTGGACAGTTGGTTGGGTGCTTCCAGGCCCCTTTCCAACTTGATTCCAGGCAGGCGATCTTGCAGACAGATGGGGCATCCAAGAGAAAACAGCGGTGTCCTCTGAGAGATCAGGATGTCTGCAGATGGCAGTGGAGCAAAGAAGGGCACCAGCAGGGATGAACTGGGATGGAAGAGCAGACGGGAAAGGTGGGTGGAGAGGTGACAGCACCAGGCTAGGCAGACAAATGGTCTTCTGTTTCAGGACCTCTGTGATCCCGTGAAGGAGAGATGCCGCTGATCTGGAGCTTCAGCAAGGACCGCTACACTTGCAACCAGGTGTTGTCCCGGGAATCCTGCTTGACTCCTTTTTATGCAGACTGCAGAAGAAACAGGACCTGAACCTGGAAAAAGCAGTCAGGGCTAAGCAGCTCTCACTGACAGCCTTTTGATTTTTCCTTTCCAAAGGAAACGAGAGAATTTGATGTGCGTGCACAGCTCGTGTCTCAGACTCTGAATGTCTTCATGATAGTGGCTTGCGAATTCCCATGGACAGTATGCATTCTGACCTCCCAGCATATCTCAAACTCTTTGGAGGTGCTGGCTTCCATCTACATTACTGAGTAACAGAAGAGTTAAAGGGAATTTGACAGTATCAGCTCCCTGTTTTAGGGGCCTTTGTACAAACAACCCTCAGTGGATCCTCCTTTTCCTCCTTCAGAAGGGCCGCTTGAGATGTTAGACTGACTTTTAGTGGGGCAAGCTTGCGTCTGACCTCTTCCAAAGTGGGTCTGTTGCCATACACAATCCACAACACCAGCAGGATTTGGTTGTATGTTTCAGCTACTTGGGGAGCAGCCAAGGGGAATAGGAAAGCAACACAGAAATCTGCAAGCAAACTTGTCTGTTTGCCCAGAGTTGCAAAGCACCTGCACAGAAATAACCGTAAGACAAAGGAAAGATCCAGCAGCACAATTCACTCGCACAAAAATGGCAGGGGAGAGCCAAAGAAGGGCGTGTAATGAGGGAAATGGTACCTCCCCTTGGCAGCGTGATCCTCCTGATTTTAAGGGATAAATTGACACTGCCCGGGTCCCCCATCTTTTCAGCATTTCACCAACTTTCCAGCAACTCCAAGAAGGGGAAAGATTAATTTCTCCTTTTCATAGCTCCTTTGCAGAGCAGTTACTCTGGATCCTAGACAGGGTTTTTCAAGCCCTAAGAAGGCTGCTGCATGGGGCAGAACAAATAGGAGCCCATTTGTTCTATGCTCTTTGGGATTTTGGAAGGAAACTTTGTACACTTGCAGTAACAGAGCGTATAATTCAGGTGTGCAAGTTTTCCCTCCATTTTCCAGCCAAGAGAGATGAAGGCAAGCTGTGAATTCTGAGGAGGTGACAAGGATGATCCAGGAACTGGGGGTGGGGGGGAGCCTTATGAGGAGAGATTTAAAGCACTGGGCAAGTTTAGCCTGGAGAAGAGAAGACTGAGAGGAGGTATGATAGCATATGAAAGGCTGTCACGACTGGAAGGCCAGGATCCTTGATCATCCTAGAGTGCAGGACACAGAATAAAGGGCTCCGATTCCATCTGAACACCAGGAAGGATGTCCTGGCTGTCAAAGCAGCACAACAGCCTAGGAAGGCTGTGCGTTCCCCCACACTAGAGGCATCCAAGATGCAACTGGACAGCCATCTGAGAGAGATGGTATGACTCGGTGTTCTGCACTGAGCAGGGGGTTGGACTGAATGGGCTTCCTGCCCCTTCCAGCTCTACTATTCTATGGTATATTTACCTTCCATTTACTTCCAGTCCAAAATACTTTTTTAAAAGTCAACAATCCCTTAAAGAGTAGAGAGTGGGACAGAGCAACTGGGGACAAGTGACTGGAGAGCAGCAGTTGTGAAAGGGATTTCAGGGAACTTGTCAACAGCAGGCTGAACATAAGCTGGAAGTGTGACATGGCAGTTAAGAAGGAAAACTCCACCCTTGGATGTATAGCCAGAAGTGTGGCTTCCAGATCTAAGCAGGTGTTGATACTGCTCTATAAGATTCTAGTATGCCCACAACTGGAGTACTACCTCCAGTATTGTGCTCCACCTTATAGGAGAGACAAAGCTAAGTTAGAATTGGTTCTTCACAGGGACACAAGAAGAGCAGCCGGGTTGGGAAGAATGACACAGGAGGAGAACTGGGTCTCTTTAGCCTGGAGAGGAGGAGTCTCCAAGGGGACCTCTTAGTGACTTATAAGCATGTGAGGGGATGTAATGTGCAGGAGTGCTGTGACCTGTTCTTCCCTGCAGTGGAGAGCAGGGCCTGTTCCAATGGGGCAAAGCTCGAAGAACCAGCTTCAGGCTGGATGCCAGGAAGTACTTCCCTGGCAGTTAGGACCCCTAGGATATGGAATGGGCTTCCAAGGGAGGAGGTTGAGGCCCCATCAGTGAGGGTGCTCAAGGAAAGACTGGACAAGCACAGGTTGGGGATTGCATGAGCAGAGCCAACTGGAGGCTTAGATGGCCCAGGAGGCTCTTTCTGATTCACTTTGTAAGATGTTGTAAGCGAGGTGACAGCAATGATGTAATATGATTGCATCTCAAGTATTTATCTACAATACTACTTCCCTTTATTTCATGCAACATGTTATATGAGCAGTATCATCAGTTGTAGCTACCGTGGAAATTTCCAAACTTTGTCCTTAGAGAAGAAAGTGTCCGAAGAAGACACTGAGTCACAGTAATAAACATAAGCAAGCTCTTCCCTAGATGAGTAAAAGTAGACTCAAATTTTGCAACACATTATAATCTTAATTTTTGAAAGTGCGTCGCCAACCGCACAAAGGCGTAGGTTCAGATCAGATGGGTACTGCGCCCCGTCGTAACAATTGGGACGGCACATTTCACGCAGACGCGTGACCACCCACTCATCATGTGTAAGAACCTGAAGGATCGATTACTTTTGCTTTGTTCAGCAGTGCCAATGCCGTGCCATCAGCTTTCTGGTAACGGTGACTTCTTCTTCGCCTTCTATTTCGTCATCGTTCCAGCTCTTACATTTCTTGTGCGAAGCAAAAATAAAAGGATTTCTCCTTTCATTCTAGTCGGAGTCTGGATTTATTCCAGATAAACCAGATTCAGGCATCTTATTATCCATGCTAATATATTCAACAAAGATAACGCCCCTTCGATTCCCGGAAGCGGTTTGCGACTCGAAGGGGAAGGACGGAGTGGCTTCCCGCAGCGAGCGCAGGAGGTTTTCACATAAGCGGTTTAGGGAGAAAAGAGGCTGGCTTGGGTTATCTCCAGACTCGGAAATAAAAGGATCCTGGGAGGAGGGACAAAGAAAAAAAGAATAGGGAAAATCCGGCGTAAGGTGTTATTAGTTAGACAGGAAAAGTTAGACAGGAAAAAAGAACTACAACTCTCAGCATGCCCGAGCCAGCGTATCTTTTTTTGTGTCTAAGCTTGCGCAAGAGCAAGTCTTTGCTACTGGAAGAATTGGAGATGTGCCAAAAGCTATGCAAGAACTAAATTGACACTTCCTGTTGAACTCGAAAATCATCTTTAACGCATCCAGATCATGGGCGCAACCGGAGCAGGCCGCTTCTTGGTTTCCTTGATGGAAGGCGTGATTGGTTTGGCAAAGGAAGTTAAAACAGGGAGCGCGCCGGGGAAAGAAATAGAGAATATTCCGTTTTCAGACCGGAACTGCCCTGAGAACGCTCCTCTACCTCTTTCTTCTCCTAGTTCTATGGCGCGGGACGCTCAGCCGAACTTCCGGCTTGGAACGAAAAGCTACGGCAAGTCCGCGGCTCCAATCTGCGGCCTGCCCCGTTGGCGGCGGCGTGGCGCCCCTTTATCCCGGGGCACTCCTGTTGTGTGTGCGCGGGCGGACCAGGCGTTGTAGTCGGCTTGGCACGAATCGAGTCGTGGAGTTCGATGCTCTTGGGCGCCGAAAAAGAGTGTAAAGCCCCCTTTTTGGGACCCCCGGCGGGAGCCTGGATTGGGAGGGCGGTGTCTGCGGCTTCGGATCGGAGCGAGCAGGCAGAGGAAGAGGGTCGTCTGCGGACTGTGCGGGGCGACTCTGCATAAGCGGGGGAAAGCGCCCCCCCCGGAGCGATGGAGCAGCATCCCCTGCTAGACGCCCTGCAGGTGACCGTCCCAGAGATCCGGGGCTGTTCTGACCGTGCTCCCGTGCAGCAGGTTGTCCCTCAGTTCCTGCGCCTCTTGGCAAGTGGGGGGCCGCGGAGAGCAAGCGGCAGCGCCAAGGCAGGGGTGATCCGAGACCTCCTGGCCATTCTGGAGGCTGTGGACTGCCGGTGGTTATTTGGGGGCTGCCAGCCGAATGCCAGCCCCGCTCTGCTTTGTGACCTGGTGGTAGCTTTGAACCGTTGCACAGCACCACCCCAGCAAGAGCCAGATCGAGGAGGTGATGGCCCTTCCTATGCTGAGGTCGCTGATCAGTCGGTGGACGTTGGCCTGGTTTTCTGCAACATAATGGAGAAACTGGAAGTGGCTAAAAGCCTGGTAGGACTGGGCTCTGGAGTGGTTGGCTCAGCCCTCCGGCAAGTGGCAGGCCCCGTCTTTATATTTGCCACAACTCACTTGGCAGAGATGCCGTGGAGCAACCTGAAGATGCGATCTGTGACTCAGGAGCTGCTGGCTGGTTTGCTTCGAGCCACTGATTGCCAGTCAGTACCTGAATTCCTCAGAGGTGCCCACGAGGGTGAAGATGGCTGGTTTGCTGTGGTGATGCATTGTCTGAAACCAGAGTTGACCAAGTAAGTGAGAGGCCAATGAGTTTCCTGCACTGACAATATTTTGCAGACTTCTGGATAAAGAGAAACAATTGATCATGAGCAACCGGCTTCAGTGATACTGTCATAATGCTTAAAGATTGTCAGGAGTTCTGACATTGTTCTGACATTGATTTCTACAGTCAGTGTTCATTTGAAAGTGCTTTTGCAAAGCTTTATCAGGGTGATGGTCCAGGCCTGGAGCAGGAAGTATGTGGTCTTCCTGTTGAGTTTGAAATCCAGCTCCCATTCTCCCTAGCCAAGCTAGTAGGCACTTTAGTCTATTCCTCTGGTGCAGCCAGCCTAGACCATGGTCAGGAATTCTAGGAGTTATAGTCCAAAATACTTGGGAGTGTAACAGTTGGGAAAGACTGGACTAGAGGGACAAGAAGTCTGGCCTAGTAGAAGTCAGCTTCCTATATTTTTCCTTTCTTACCTCTGACTATAGGTTAGAGCGCACAGCCTAAGGGGGTTTAATGGTTCCCTTTCTTCAGAGATACATGGGAGCACAACCCAGCCACAAAGCACGTCTTCTCCACGGTGCTCCAGCAAGTCACAAGGCCCTGGCTCGACCATCACTTAGAGAAAGTCTTGCCACCTTCACTGCTGCTGTCCGATGACTACCGAGCAGAAAACAAAATCCTGGGAGTGCGGTGCCTACACCATATCATTCGGAACGTGGTAAGGAAAAGGTGGTGCGCATGCCGTGTTTCCCCCAGTCAGCAACAAGGAGCAGCTTGGTTAGCTGCCTGGCACAAGTTCACTCCCCAGCACGGATCTATTGACAAGGCCCCCCTAGACTCGCCGATCTCCTTCACTATTGCAATACGCTTGTTGATCTGCCTCTCTCTGGCTGAGGCAATGATGGTGGTGAGAAAACAGATGGGTTTCAGTGCCTGCTTTTTCATTGACTCTCTTACTCTTAAGCAAACAGTAGCAAAGATGAGAAAGGGGGTGAGGAAGAAAAACAACTGGTGATAATTGCCGTGTAAAGGTAGATTCATTAACTGGGTTTGCACAACATGACAACCTTCATGACCGACAAACAACACTGGGTTGTGCCGTGTAGAGGACAACAAGCCACCCATGCCTTGTTCAAGGGCTTGTTGGACCTACAGTGGATTGTTTTGTGCCCACACCCAGGCATTTGGCCCAGTTGTGAGGCCTGGGATTCAGTGAGCGAGCCATTTGGCCAGAACAACAAAAACCCTGCGGCAAACTTGTGCGGGATACTACCAGTGGCAGCCATTCTGCCAGTGCCCAAGCAACACAGTGTAACATCCATCACTGGCTGATGTCCCCCTGGCTAATCCTTTTTATGACACTGGTCAGTTTTGACAACTAGTTTCCTTGTAAAACGGCAGGGGTGGGGTTATTACAGACCACCCAAAGTTTTTTAAACAGGACCATGTAATAAAGCCCCATTAGCCCTGTCAAAACCCTTGTTTTAAAAGGAAGCTTGAACTTTGACAACTGTGAACTTCATCTTCATGAGCACCTAGCAACTTAAGAAGGGATAGAAAATATGTAAGAAAAGTCAGCCAAAAAAAGTTAAAGGATCTCGCCACACAAGGAGTGAGCTAATCATCCATTGGGTGCGGTATGGATTGTTTCACCAGGGGAAAAAACACATGCTAAATCCACACAAACTCCCCCAGAGATGGACCCATGCAAGGCGTGTCTTCCAAAAGTGGCCAGCACCGAGTCCTCCCCTGCTCAGATGCACGTTTCAGGGATGGCGTGCCAAGATGACTTCTGAGTTCTTTTATTCTAGCAAAAATTGGGGATTGGCCTCATGAATTCATGAGTGAGGACTTAATCTCGGTGTTCCAGTTATGTGGCAACCACAGCCAAAACCATCTACAAGGGGTGATTCTTTCCCATGGATTCCACATGTCTGATGGCCATGAGAAACACCAGCCCTCAGGTAGCTGACATTGACATGCCTGGATTTCTCTCTGGGTAAGCATGCACAGCGTTGCAGTACACTATTCAAGCACAGCTTCACTGGGAAAGCATTTTTGTGCCCTTGTCAATATTTGACAACATGGATTGAATCACATGAATATTCCTTGCTGTTCATATTTTAAGTGGTGTGGGGGAATAAGGCAACAAGTACCAGCACACCAATTTGAACATGCCTAAGGGAACAATAGATGAACAACAGATGGCAAGGGGACGGCAGAGGATGAGGTGGCTGGATGGAGTCGCTGAAGCAGTTGGTGTGAGCTTAAGTGGACTCCAGGGGATGGTGGAGGACAGGAAGGCCTGGAGGAAGGTTGTCCATGGGGTCGCAATGGGTTGGACACGACTTCGCAAATAACAACAAGAAGGAGCCGTGCATTCACATATATTGGGTTGGGTTCAGATTTTGTCATGCCTTGAGTAGATCCCTTAATATCAATGGAGCTTCTGTTGGCCATGATGCACTTACCCCATTAATTTCAGTGGGTCTGCAGTCGTTTGCCAAAATTACATTGCCTCTAAATGTTGTCTGTTCAGTTGTTAAGTCCTGCTCTGAAAGCCCCATCAACATGGGTATTTTTTAAAACATTCTGGAATACACTGTGATGAAGATGGTCTCTCTGGAGAATGTTCTTTTGCACAATGCAAGTGAATGCATCAATCAAGAATGATTTCCTGATAAGATGATCTCCTTTTATTGCAGCCAGCAGCTCACCTCTGCCAGTTTAACAGGATACAGGTTGTGCATCATGCCCTTTCCAACCATCTCTATACCAAAGAGGCCCAGCTCATGCAGGTAACCTTACAGTGCAGCCTTAGGGCTGCTCGGGGTGATGCCCCATTGAGTTAAATGGGTCCGACTCCCAGGTAGATGGCCATAGCATTGCCTCTTTAAAGACAGTTATTTTACAGCCCATCCTCTCTTAACTGTCCCGACTAGGTTGCTCTCTTACTGCTTCTTAGCACCCCCTTTTTGTAAAGGAGTTCAATTTAATTTCTACTGCTTTGAACTAGATTCTGATTTTGAATCCTTTTGAATCCAGTAATCATCGCTGGAGTCCTCAGTTTTTAGGACACTGATGAGGGAAGATGCAGGGGCAGCACCTCTTAGCAAGTGGCTCTCTAGTCATTCTGGGCAACCCACAGTGCAGATACTCTGCTGGATTCAGTCATCACAAGCCACCCTGCAAACAGCCATGGGTTCTCAGCCTCTGAAGAACCATCACAAAGGAAAACCCACATGAAGTTCCAGAATTGACAAGCCACCTTGAAACATCACATGGTGATGACCCACCATAGCTTATCGTGCCAGCCAGATCAGTGTGCATCCTCTCAGGTCGAATGAGTTCAGAGCACCATGTTAGCATTCAGAGGCCCACAACCAAAACTGATGTCTCAGCTCCAG